CCCCAGCCCCATGGCTGCAGCGGAGGAAGGGCCCGGCTGCTTCCTCCCCCGGGCCCGGTCGCAGAGTGACCCCAGCATCCTGACGGACCCCGCGGGCTCCGGCGGCGGAGAGCATCCAGGTACCAGCCCGCCCCCTCCCCGGGGCTCCCCCGGGCGCTGGGGGGCATCCCTTCATCCCCTGGGCAGGGCTGGGGAGGGGGCTCTCCTACACTACACTAGAAAGGAGCAGGCTGTTTGCCTGGCATCACCATGGAGACAGGAGGGAGCAGACTCATAATTAAATGCTTCCCCCCCCCTACAAGAAGGTAATTTTCGCTGCATACAGAGGAGTCTAATTTTCTCATGGGGGGAGGTGAGGGGGAAGGTGCGTAGATCTCATTGCAATAGGTTGTTTATAAATTCAAGGGACGCCCCTCCCTGAAGGCCAGCTCACTGAGAGTAGTTTCAGCTTTGAAGAATAATTCAGTTACTCCAGAATTTAATATCAAAGTAATGATGGGCACCTTGTGGGGGGAGGGGGACAACAGCAGCAAAAGAAAAACAACACTGACTTTGCAGGGCCAAGACTACTCTTAGTCAACTCAAAAAGTCCAGATAGGTTTAATGCGAGGTGATTACAAGGAGAGGCCTAATGGCAAGCAGCTGGAAGCAAAGGCCAAGATCCAGTTGACTCCGGGGTTTATATAAACAGTACATCGTGTATGAGTTGTAAGGTTTCTTTATGAGAGTTACCGATACCACCCATGATAAACCGGTGCTGAGAACTGCGTGGCTAATAGTGTGGGACAATAAAAGATATGTTGAGCCTAGCTGCCTAGTATACTGATTTTTAAATGCAGAACTTGGGTAGGGCTGGACCCAAAAGCCTGATGACGGCAGTGGGGAGAAGCCCATTGCAATAAATGTGTTTTGGGCCATAGCTTTGTCCCTGTCCTTTTGCAGATTAGTGATTAAATACAAGCTCCCGGCTCTCTTTGATGGGTCTGCTTGCCAACATTCCTTTCCTCTGAGGCAGAACGTAACTGTTAATAATTACGACAATTTTAAGTTTGATTCATTTCCCTTATCAAACAATTCTAAGCACCTTTGTTGCACTGGAACTAGATAAAAAAATAATGAAATAAATGGAAACAGTAGAGGATTTATCTCTGATGTCCAACTGTGCTGATACCCCAAGTAAAGGGAACAAAGGATGCCTCTAACATGAAGTGCTAGACTTTCTCCCAAAGGGGCAATCTTGACTGAAAGAGAGGAATGTGTATTTCTGCCATTTGATTTCTGAAGGCAGGGGTTATTAGTGAAAGGAAAATCATCTGAGATATCAGCTCTTTCTTATATATTTCAAAGCAATCAAAAACAATTGGAAGCAGTAAATGTAACCATATAGACTAATTCTTAAAACCTTCTGATACATAAAGGAAAATAAACATACACTTTCTGCAAGGAGGAAGTGTTATTAATATTTAAAAAAAAAACCTCACATTATTTTTCAATAACAGTACCACAATTAAGGCCAAATATCCCTATGGCATTGCAGCAGCTGCACAAAATTTGCAAGAAAAGCTCTTTCTTTTTTTCAAAAAATGCAGTACAATAGCGCGTGTTTGTTTGTATGGGAACACAGTTTTGTGCAACATCACATTGTATAGCTTAAGGAGACCTTCAAGGAAACTGAATTTATTTGTTCCTGTAATTTACCCGTCTGACTTGTTAGCTAACAGATTTACAGTATGTGGTATTCTCATTTTGTTAGCTAACAGATTTACAGTATGTGGCTTCTCATTTTGTGTAGGAGTGTCACTTTAACAAAGAATGCTACATGGTGCAACATTGTTGATAACAATACCTTTACATCTAATTTTATGCTATAACATGAATATTCAATTACATAGTCATCTTACCTTCCTACCAGGTAATAGAACAGTTACATTTTAGATTAGAGCTCTAAAATTAACACAGTCATCTAAGGATGCTGAGTCAAAAGAACTTCTTAAACATGGGTTATTTAATAGAGTAGTATTCATATATATGTCCCAACCCCAGCCCTACTAAAGTCTTATTACTAACCTCAGGTGATTGGAACTGTGTTCTTAATTTGATCTTTCAGGATTTTAAGATGGATTTAAAGGTATTTTCCTTATTCATTTAAAAAGAGAAGTAGTGATATTGGACAGGGTTTTTTAAATTTAAACTTAGTTATGCAGGCAAATCTGCTGATGCAAACTAAAACTGTGCATGAGAAATTCAGGATTTTTCTTTCTGAAGAACTTGTCATAATCACATCAATCTTATTGAAAATATGTTTAACAAACTCTTGCTTCACAAAACACATCGTTTACTTTAAAATGGTATTACTCACCATAGTGGTAAAACATCATTTCCATGAATTGATGGTGGACCATCTAAAAAGAGTCAGAGGAGGGTGGTTGAGGGCTAGTTATTCATGTCACTGAACCGTTAACATAACCAAATGGCTTTTATAAGGCAGATGAGCCAAAATAACACTGACCTTGGTGGAACAAGGGTAAGATTTATTCAGGGATGAGTTGTTTTGGGGGTGGAGGGGAATCCATGATGTTAGGTATAAATAGGTTTTCCTTCTGGAGAGATTTTGTTTGTGGCTCAAGCCCTGACTGGGGTCTGCTCTGTAGCATTCTCATCCTAAACTCATGTTTGAGTTCCACTGTTTTCTCTGTCATGTGGGATACCAGTGGATGGTCAAAATCCTTGTCTGCTTTTTGCCATAGTGGCTTGTATTTCATTGAGCAACAGGTCTACACTGTGGATATGGTTCCTTATTCAAAATGCTGTAACAGGTGTTAAATAACATGTTTTCTAAGGGGTTTCCCATTAGTGAGATAGTCTTTGTTTAAAAAACTTGCATATTACTCCTCTTGGTTTATCAGGTTACAGCATGTATCTTTTGTGGCCCATTTTAGGCAGGAGTATGTTCAATGACACCAAACAGGTGAGGATGTAGATGAAGAGGCATTTAATTCTCTATCTAGAAAGACAGTTTTGGTGCAGTATTGGATTTCTTTTTTTAACTCCATTTTTCAGTTGAGTTGATTGAAGCACAGCAAGGCTCCATAGCTTGCCCAAGGTCATATTCCTGCCAGTGCAATTGGTGCTTGAACCACCGGCAGGTCGATCAGTGGTTCAGCTGAGATAAAAGCCCAGAATTCCTTATGCAATTTCTGGCCCACCAGACTTCCTTTTGGCAGATTATGGGACAAGAGAATTGACGGAGACAGGGAAGTGAGTATGAATAGACTGCCCTGAAACAGTTCTTACCCTGTGTTAGAAAACCATCTCATTGTAATTGAATGCTATCTTATTTGGTTGAATATCATCTTGTGGCAAAATGCTTTGTAGAAGCTGCCCATGCTGATGTTAAAATTATCCCCTTCTCCCTTATAAAGGGTAAAAAAAGTGCTTCTTTTCCAATATCAGAAAGTGATATCTGTAGTACTCATCTAGCCAGATCCCTCACAGATTCACCTCTGAAGATGTAGCTGAAAAACTATTTGCAAAAATTCTGAGTGCCCACAGCTCTGGCTGATGCCCATCATAGATACAGTTACTCAGTGGCCCTGCCTACACATGCACTTAACTGGAGTAGACTAATTAGCTGTGGAGTAAAGTGCCACTGTCTACATGGGCAATGCTATTAGGCTGAAGTAAACTAATTAATGCCACTGTAAGATCATACTGTCAGGGTCAGTACTATCTTATGATGGGGTAATTAACTACGATTTAACTCATGTGTAGATACTGATTGTGGGTATAAATTGCACCCAGTCAGCAGGGGGCCAGCCTCTTGCCTGCCACCTAGCCACACAGCTCTGCACTTTCAGCACCCTCATGCCCCAGCAAGCCCCTCTGCTGCTCAGTGCCACCACTTGGAACCTGGGGCTGAGCCCCTTCCTTCTCTCCCCCCATTCCCCTAGCCCTGGCATAAAGTGCTCTGCTCCATCACATGTTTAGACACTGCACCCAGGAATCGTTTATTCTGGCTCAAACTACTCTGGAGTTTATTGCTTTGAATAAATTGCATGTGTAGATGCACCCAGTAGCTCCAAAAAACCCAGACCCATTGTAAAACTTATCTGGCATATTTGTCTTTAAGCAAATGGAAAGTTTTTTTTATTATTGTGACTGACTACAAGATTACAGCAGATGCAGAGGATACTAATAAGTTATCTTCCAAAATACTACTGTGCAAAACTGTTTAAAAACATTATTATATTAATAACATATTATTAAATGTTCCTATAGCAAATAAGATAGATAAGATGTTCAGTATATTTAGACCAGCTGTATATTTAGCTGTTAATAGTAACACACCTTTCTAAAAACAAGCCTACAAATGTGTTAATTTAGATCCTTCACATGCATTTTAATTAAACAGCAGCTCCTTGCAGTGATCTGTTAGCATATGACAGTCACAGTCTAAGAAGGAAATATGGACTTTAATTGTCTGCAGTAAGCATCATTGTGAAAAGGCTGTTTTCCTGACATAATTACTTATAGTATGGTGCATATACACACAGTATTATGTATAGAAAAGACTGCAAATAGTGCTATAAACACTGGACAATGAATTTTTTTAATAGAACCTAGTGCAGGGAAAGGCAACTTTTTTCAGCGACAGACTTTCCACCACTGCTGCTTGTCTCCATAAAAGCAGAGAGAGAGCACCTGCAGCTGCTGCTTCTCCCTGAGGTGGCATGGGGGCAGTGCTCAACCAAAGTCCCCTGCCACTGAGTGCCACTAAAGCCCTGGATACATGGGCCAGATCCAGTGGTTTGACCGGCTAGATCTAGCACATGGGCCATAGGTCACCAACCCCTGACCTAATGTATTTGGATTCTTTTTCTTTCGGACAAAGCAAATGTATTTTGGCCCGCGATGCGGTCATCTTTTGCACCACCAGTGAGCTCAGGTGTATAGGCTCTTGAAAACTGGTGTTTTTTCTGCCCTGATGAGATATTGCAGTACACAAACAATAGTACAATATTGCAAAGACAAACATAGCACCATAGGAACCTCCTGGCTTACTGAGTCCAGTTCCTATTATCACAGGCAATCACGCAACAAGCGTGTACTTACGGACTCC